ATCCTAAATAACATATTATCATTTATATTTATTCATTAATTTTCTATATAATTTATAATATTATTTTATACGAATGTATAATCTAAAAACTTCTATAATCTATCATTAAATCCTTTCATGCTTCTTACACTCGAACAATAATTTAAAAATGAAATAATATTTTAAATAAAAATTAAATCTATAAAAACAACTATCAAATAACAAACAATCCATTTATAATCTTCTTTTTAAGTAATAATACTACATTTTTTAAAGATAAAAAAAAAAAAGAAGATTAAAAAAATAACTAAAAAAAACAAATTTGGAATAATATATCTAAAACGCTATAAAATATTATATTTTTCAATAAATTTTTTCATACATGATTTAATCAAAATGCAACACAAAATCATAATTGACATTATAAAATATCCAAAAAATAAATAATAAAAACAAATTAGCATAAATAAACATTATTTAAAATACATAAGTAAAGCCTTAAGTACAGAGTTACGTGAATTGTCTTATAATATATACATTTCAAAAAATTCATTCGCAATAAGTGTAAAATATATTTTCTAGTCATATTTATAATAATCAGGATTCATATTAATTTTAGATATACTTATTATTTCATTTTGTGCATAATCAACTGAAATAACAGTGGCACTTTTTTGAATGCTTTATTTAGCTTAATTGTGGTGATTAATTTTAAATCCACCCATATAATTATCAGGACTAAAAGTACTAGTAGAACTTTAAATGATTAAATTACTTTTTTTTCTTGGATTTACATCTATTATATTATTATTTTTTGTGTCTAAGCCTATTATTTATTAGCTTATTTAATTTCCTTTTTGAATAGTTGATTTAAGCATTTAAATTTGATTTTATTTCTGTTATATCACTATATTATCAATCTGGTCAAACTTTTCTACGTGTTAATTTTGAGATTTTGTTATTTTCGGTTTACATTCTGATTCTTTGGAATTATTCTCTTTTTTATTTTTAAAATATGGCCTATTATCTAAAACGTGGCAAATTATGCATGCAATTATTGTATATATAGTAATCACTAGATATGCTTTAAACATCAACTTACTAGTTAAATGTGCTTCTTATTTTTTTTATATTTCTTATGTTTCTTATAATTAACCTTCACATTTGCCATTATTAAAAACAAGTCCCTTTTTACACTCCAAACATTTATTATCGCCTGCTTATGTGCATTTTTCGCATGAAATATGGCAAGGGTCACATCTATTAGTCTTCATATTTTTAAATTTAGTTTAAGAACATTCAGTTTTACATTGGTTTTCATCTAAGTAAGTATTCCCAAAGCACAACATTTCATTACTACAGAGTCCATTATATAAATAGAATCCCTAAAAACATTCTGAACATTCCGTATATTATTTGCAGTTTGAACAATTAGAACCACAAGGTTAACAAATTCCCTAAGAATCTGGGAAATAGGATTCATCACATTCTTATTTACATTATTGATTTTTGGTTAATAAGTAATTCTATTTACAAGATAGACACATGTCCTTTTTATGCATGTTTACAAGTTAGCCACATAATCACATTTTAATGTACTTCTTTTAATATATTTTCTTCTTCACACGTATCACATGTATTAGAATTAGAACAAGTAAGGCAGGTAGGATCGCATTATTAACAAATTTTATTTGAATCCGAAAATTATTATATATCGCATTTATCGGCACATTTCTTAGTCTATAAAAGAACTTAAGGATTATTACATGTAATACACTAATTGCCTAGTATTCCATCTTCGCAGGTTCTGCAATTATTATCACATATTTCACAAAAACCACTTCTTGTGTTTTTGTAATGTCCCACACCGCATGTATTACATGAAATAGCATTTGAGCAAGTAAGGCAAGTCACATTACATGATTAACATGTCCTAAAAGCATCTACATACTAATTCTATTAGCATGCAGAAACGCATTTATGGTCTTAAGTCATAAAATAATTAGGAAAGCATTTCGTACATTATTTAGAAGGATTATCAACGCAAGTTTTGCAATTAGCAGAGCAAGGCGAACAATAATTACTTTTAGAATCTATATACATACCATCATCACATGTAGAACATGAATTTCCATTAATACATGATAAGCATGATATATTACAGGGTTAACATTTTTTCGTAAGATCCGGATATTGTTTCGGCAAACAGGAATTTTGGCAAGTTTGATTTGTTTATAAATATTAAGGGTCATTACAAGAAAGGCAGGCAGTTTTAGAAACATTACAAGTTTTGCAATTTGAATCACACAATTCACATAAACCACTTTCTGAATTTATAAATGATCCAGAACTACAAGTACTACAGGAAATCCCATCTATACATGTAGCACACGTACTGTTACATGCTTTACAGATATTAGAAGAATTCAGATATTAGTTTGAATAGCATTCCGTGACACATTTTTTTTCCAGTTATTGGTAATATAAAGGAGATGAACAGGAAAGGCATTTAGTTTTGTCAGTACCATTTTCACATGTAGCGCATGAGGTATCACATGCTTCACACAATAAAGTATTCGTATTTAAAAATTTTCCATCTGCACAAGTTTTACAAATCATCTCATCAGTACATGTAAGACATAAAATATTGCAATCACTACATTTAGGTATAGTAATATCAGTAGTATCTATATATTAATTACTATTACAAGCATCTACACATGTCTTGTCTTTTGTTTATAAAAAGTAAGGTGAATCACAAGAAGTACTATATATCTATAATATCATTTTCGTAAGTTTTACAATTAATATTACATTAATCCCTAACAGTTATATGAAAACCTTAATCACATTTAGTGCAAGTAGTTTAATTAATACATTATATACATCCTTTCATACATGGAGTGCATATTCTATCGTTAATATTTTTCTTAAAAGTACCTTATGGACAATCTACACATATGTCATTTACAAAAACCTCATCACTTCCACATTAAATACATTTTAGATACTATTCATAAATTCAGTATCTTTACAA